GGTAGGTAGGTAGTACGTACGTTACGTAGTAGTACGTACTACGTACTACGTAGTACGACGACGACGGACGGACGTAGGTAGTAGAGTAGAGAGACGACGAGAGAGAGAGAGAGAGAGAGAGAGAGAGAGAGAGGCCACACATTATAAACAGTAAGAGAAATGGTGGAACATATTCTAGATAGAAACTATTTATCTTCTGTGATGAATATAATCTTAGACTGATGCAAGAAAATGTTGACCACCACCCCAGAAGAAAAAAGAGGAACCCCAACTATTGGAAATAATAGAACTCCATAAGCATTGGTTCATGCTGGATTCTCTATCAAAATTTAGGACATTGATGACTGGTATCATCATTTCAATAAGCAATTTTTCTTTTTCAACTATGTTCTTTGATTTTTATAGTGCAAATTTTTCCAATGCATGTATCAGCACTTACGGGTCTAACTCCATTTATATTTTGTGAATCCTCAGCAACAGACTGAATTCCTTGAGACTTACAATGGAAACGTAGAGAATTCAACATTCTAGGTCCACGAATATCCAGGAAACTTTTAAGGATACCACCCAACAGAAAAGCTTCAGAACAACCAGGTTAGTGTGAACCCAAAACGAGATTTGACTGAATACGTCTAGTAGAAAATAAAATTAGTTCTGAGATGGGATCATTTTCTTCTGATTTTGGCCATAAAGATAAAGGTTTGACGATGATCGAAGAAGCCATGCATGAAAATGAACTCCTTTAAATGATGTGACACATTCTTACGATGAATGATTAATTAATATTGATGGTGCATGATGAATGACAATATTTGGATAATAGTAGAAAATGGCTAAGGACGGCTGAACATAGGCTATATATCAAACCCAAGTCCCATGATGCTTCTTGGAGAAGATACACAGCTCAAGTTTATCATCACTCTTTTTTTTTTTTTATGTACAAGAAGATAAATGGTTGCATCAAATCTTAGCTCACAAGCCTGACTAGGTCTCAGTGAATGAGTCTAGCTGACTTGTGGTTTCTTAGGTTATAATTTTATGGAAATAATGTGTTTGTGTGTATACCCAAGGCAAGCCGACTAATATGACCCAGAATCTACGTATATAGAATTGAGCACTAGGATGTTCAATCCACGGATGGTTCTTCTAACTGGAGGTGGTCTAAAGTCTTTTACAAGGAAAAATATATAGTTGCTTGCCATATAACAATTAAAGAACAGCATGACAGGATGCACAAATACTGGATCATTTGTTACCATGCAAACAGACAGACATGGTAAATAGGCCAGAAAACACCATGTTCTCAGTAGGTTCATGAATGAACATCAGAATGTCGTTCAAGAATATCAATGGTTTAAATGTGAAACATTTGTGCAACATCATGTTCCCAACCAGGATGAATCAACCGATCAGCAAAGTATATTCTAAAGTGTGTGTATAACACCAGCCAATAAACACACAAAAATCCGGGTATGCCAATATGATACATGCAGATTAACACTGTTAGTGCAAGCTTGTTATATCTACAATAGTATTTGTTGGTTCTCTGGGAGATTTCAGATTAAATGACGGCCAATATAAATTTAATGGGCAAGAGGGATATATTGGAATAAGGATACAACCAGAAATTTGCCAGCATATTGATACAAAACAGACAAATTGGGAAACTGGGAATTAAGAAGACATAAAGGATATTAGCACAAAACAAAGAACTAACAAGTACATAGGAAGAGTTGGGGATGTTAGTCACAAAAACAAAAGCTTAATACATATACCAGATGATACCAACCATGGAATCTCATTAGAGTGTATCAGACAACAGATATAACAGCGACTTCATGGATAAAGCCTCTAAAAATGAATAAGTCAATACATAGAATCTTTTTTTTATTTTTTATTTGAAAATGTCTAGAATCATTACTACACCAGAAATGCAGATGTTATGACACAAATCAGGTAGGATAATATCATAGACAAATTAGTAAATTTGAAAACAGATATGCGTGTGAGCGAGATTGAACAAGAATTTGCATTTCTTTTTTTTTCTCGTTACCTTGACAGGAAAAGTCCCAGTAGGTAGTTTGGTGGTCAGAAGCTCCCTCAGTCTCCTTACAGCCTTGACCTTATTCGCCAATATATCAAGCAAAGGAAGCAGCTCCTCAGTCTTTAAAGGGAAGTCCTGTGTTAACCACAAAACAGGTTTTAACCCCTTCTTATACTCGCTCTCATTCTTAGGCTCGTTCCCCAACCCACCGCCCTTCTTCTTCTTCTTCTTACTCTCCTTTTCCTTCCCAAACTCACCCGACCCACGATCCAAACTCCCATTACTGTGACCCCCACTCCCCTCTGGTCCCAACTTTGAAAACTTCTTGAAAATCTTCCCCTCATCACCACCACCACAATTCTCCTCGCCCTTCACCCCTGAACCCTTCTTCCCATTCCACCCAAACCAAGCCTTCTTCTCTTTAACAATCCCATTTGAGCCATTTGAGCTGACCCCACCACCACTATCTAGACCCTCTTCCTCAAACCCATCCGAATTCCCCATTTTAAGTGCCGAATCAAGCTGTGATTTCTCTTCAGGGGTCAACACATCCTCATATCCCTCTCCCCCATTTGAGTTCCTTTTCTCCTCTTCAGCCACGAATAGTTCCTCATCGGTCATGGCCCCTGGTACCCGCCTCGACTTCACACTAACCATCACATTGAGCATGTCATAGACCTTAGCTTTCCAAGGCCCCACCATCTCGGCTCTCTCTTGTCGCCTCCAATTTAAGTGGGGCAAGAGCTCAGCTTGTGTCACATCGATCCCCGGTCTATACATGTTTGTTTGTGACATTAGGGCAACTTCATGGGCCACCTCTGCCTCTGAGGGCGCGCTTCCTGCACCTTCGAGTGCGTCATGAACCTCCTTCTCCTTGTGTGAGAGCACCAAGAGTGAACCAGGATCAAAACCATCGATTTTAGGGTCCCCCAAGAAAAGGAAGCTCTGATCAGACCTATGGATTCTAAATCCATCGAACCCTGCAAGAGTGGTATCGGCCCTAAGGCTTGCCCCCCTCTTCCACACCCTATATGTATCAGAGGGAGCAATTCGTGAGATGAAGGGGATCACTGAGCTCTCAAAATGGAATGAAATCTCCATGTAAAAATCTGGCATCCTAGATAGCGCACCAACAATGCGAGGGAGTCGACGGGTCCACTTGGCCCAAGCCAAAGGTTGGTAGTGTCGAGCAATAGAAGCTGCTATGCCTTCTTGGCGAGAACACACAGCTTCTTGGAGGGCCGACCATCCTGAAGCATTTTGAAGGGACCAATCTGCGCCAGCAGACAAGAGGAGATCCGCGGAGATGGGGTCTTTGAGGCGCACGGCGAGGTGGAGAGGTGTTTCACGAAAGGGAACATCTCGACGGTCAATTACGGACGAGAGGGAGTCGGCAATAGATTCGGCATTGATGGACTCTGCTTCAGTGGTGACTTCACCTGGGCGGGGGAGGCGAGGGAGGGAGGAGAGGAGACAGCGGAGGGCAGCATGGTCCTGACGCACCACAGCTAAGTGAGCGGGGCTGTGGGCATATTTGGACCAGTCCTCCATGGTTGGAGGAGGAAGAGAAGGGGACGGTTAGTGTTGTTTTTCTTTGGTTATGATGGTCCCTTTTGATTCTTCTGTCTAATAGTCGCTTCTTTCTTGTTGGAGATGGTTTTCCAGGTTGGATATATGGTTATGGGCCTGATAAGCAGAAAACATAGAAGAATTAAGTAACAGAACAAACCATGGTTCTTTAATCATTCTTTGCTTTTGGGATGATACAGTTTTAATGTACAATTTCGAACTTGAGGGGGGGGAGTAGTAGTAGTCGTGTTAGTAGAACACTAAGTAGAAGAACAAGTTATGATGCATCAACTCTTGTTTAAGTTTGGGGATGGTTCAGCTTGAATGTATGGTGATGGGCCCTATAAGAAGAGAAAGTAGATGAACAAGTTAGAGTGCCTTGATATTTTTTAGTTTTGGGTATGGTTCAGTTTTGGTTGATAATTATGAACTCAATAGCAGCAGCAGCAAAATAAAAAACACAGAAAAGGGAAAATGGTGGTGTAGCAGGGTAGCAGTAGTAGAATAGGAAGAAATACCCAAAAAAAAAAAAAGGAAAGGAAAATGATGTAGTAGAAAAGGAAGAAGTACCCAAAAGAAAGAAAGAAAGGAACATCATGGTGGTAGTAGTAGTAGAAGAGGAAGAAGACGAACTCAACAGAAGAATAAACCTTGACCACTTGAATCTTCTTGGGAATAATTCAAGTTGGAAGTCGGATTAAGGCGCTCAGTCCTTCTTCCTTCTAGGGTATGGTTCAGGTTGTGATTATGGGCCTGTAAAGAAGAAGAAGGATATCAAGTACAAGAAGAAGAATATCAAGAACAAGAACAATTAGCCTGGTTCTTTTCCTTCTTTTATCATTTTTCTCGATTACAATTCGGTTCAATGCATGGTTATGGGCTTGGGAACATGATGAAAAACAAAGTAGAAGAACAAAGCCTGGTTATTTGCGTTTTGTAAAGGATAGTTTGAGTTTGTGTCAAGGTTGAGGAGATGAAGCATAAGCAAAGACGAAGACTTCCTTTTTCTTAAAGGGAAGTTCAAGTTTTGCTTATGGCTAGGGCCATAAAGGGGGGCAGGGAGAAGGATTGGCCATGGTGTTTCCTACCTATCTAGGTTTCTTCCTGATATTTGTGGGCTTTTTCCCTAGATCATCGTCGTTAATTGTTTTCATGTCTCTAATCTTCTTCGGATTCGGGATTTGTTTCTGGTTCTGGGTTTTAAAGGGAGATATCAGGTGAGATAACACATTTTTCTAATTTATGAAATTCAAGAGTTTGTTTCTCACTCTACGGTTTCGGCCATGAGAGAGAGGGACTGGTTCTCTTTCTGGTATTTCTAGAAAGATTCAGGTATTAATAAGAAATGAAGCACTAAAAATTAGTTATTTTTCCCTTGTTTAAATTGGGTTTCTTTCTTGAGGAGAGACTCTATTTTGTGAGTTTTCTGGATTCAATGTTTCGAAACAATTGGCTCGGAGATGGGGTAGAGAGAGAGACCAAGAGTGAGAAGTTACAAAGGCGGGGAAATGGGTTTTGGGTTGTGAGCGTGAAATGTGAGTTTGATTGTGCATGAGGGGTGTAGAGAGAGAAATCCGCCTTTGATGGAGGGCACTGGAGCCGAGCAGAGAGCATAGTGTTAGAGAGAGAAATATGGATCTACATACCAGTTCTCAAGTTGTAGAGAGAGAGGAGGAGGCCGCCATTAATGGAGAGAGTGGAGCTTAAGAGAAAGAGCAGAGTCGATCGACAAAGCATAGCATCCCATCCCATCCCATCCCATCCCATTCTTGTGTCTCTCTCTCTCTCTCTCTGTGTTTTTGCTGCAGGTGCAGCTGCTATCACTTTTCTTTGAGAGAGGACGAAAAGAGCCTCCATGCATTACCTAAAAGACATATGTATCCCTAAGCTAAAGGCCTCAATTTCCCTAAGTTCACTTTCTCTCTGTAAATTCAAATTGCACCAATCTTAAAACACCCTCACTCTCTCCATCTCATCATCTCATTTGGCTTTGAAATATTATTTCATGCACAAGGTTTGGTTTTTTTTTTTGTTTTTGTTTTTTTTTTAAAAAAACAAAACACATTTTCATGGACTCATATATTGTAGAAATGCGGGCTTGACAATAAATATATTTTTTAAAAGATCTTAATTTTAAAAAAATATATAATCTCTTAACATGGAGATCATGAATATGATTTTTTTAAAAAAAAAACTAAAAAATAATTATATTAAAAAAAACATTTGGATCCTTAGTTACAATTATTTTTAGAATGACCACCTCTTTGCATCTATCTTTAAGATTGATGTTTTCTACCTTGGGACCGCATACGGTAGAAATGACGTCCTGCACGTATGAAATAATTTTCCTTATTTTCAGTGCATCTACAACGCACAACTCTCTTTCTCTCATCTACCACCTACAAATATCTCACTCTCTCATCTACAACCCATATTGGAAAAAACGGGCGATCTAAGCGGTAACCGCTCAGTTGGATCAATTTTATGGCAGTTTTAATGATCGATCGGTAGTTTTAAAAATATAATCAAATAAATGTATATAAAATCCCAAAAATAATGAATTTGATTTGTAATATTTTTTTATTTTTTTTTTACATTATGGTAAAAATTAAAAATTATTTTGATCATATATTTTTCTATTTTTTTGAAATTTTTTAAAAATACCCCTAAGCACATTTAAAATCTATTATTTTATTATTAATTGTCAACTTCATTTGAATGTGTTTTGTTTTAATCATTCTTTATATGTTTTTCATATTTTAGTGAATTTTATTTTATTTTTTTCAATAATTTTTTGACTGCCCCCAATTGAAACGATTTAACCAATAGGTTTACTAGTTAAACAGCCTTCAGCCCCATGTTCAGTTGAAAAAAGCGTCTACAACTCATAAATCTGTCTCTCTTTGTACTTTCTTTATTCATTTTGGCCTTTTTTGGCTTTGAAAGAGAATTTCGTTGAAGCTATAACTTACAAATCTCCCTCTCTTTCCTCTTTTCCATTAAAATTTTATATTATCTTTCTTTTTGAAAAACATATTATTTTTATTTAAAATAATTTATTTTTATTGTCTTTTAAAAAATTATTATGTTTTTTTTATTGTTAAGAATTTCTTGAAGCAATGTTATTATGTGTTCAATCTTTGAAACTGGAACCACATAACTTAGAGAGCTTAAAACATAAGAATTTATATTTTTCTACTTTTAAGTTTCCAAAAATCATTTTTTTCATTTATATGTTCTCTTGTAAACTTAAGTCCCAAATTTTCATTTTTAAAAACATGTGGTTTAAAATAATGGCAAGAAATTTACCCAAAAACAATAATTGTAAGAAAGAGAATAAAAAGCTCTCTCTCTCTAATGGTAAGAAAGAAAATAAAAAGCTCTCTCTCTCTAATGGTAAGAAAAATCTCTCTCCCCACGTGGGCGGCCAGGAGAGCTCTCTCTTAGATGCAGTGATAAGAGCAATTTGTTATTCCTTCAACCGCCTTCTTTCTCTATATTTTACTATTTTAGAGAGAGAAAGGATGATCATTCAAAAGAGAGAGCACTCAAAATAGAGAGAGATAACACTGAAGAGAGAGAGAGTACTCAAAATAGAGAGAGAAAACACTAAAGAGAGAGCACTCAAAATAGAGAGAGAACACTGAAGAGAGAGAGCACTCAAAATAGAGAGAGATAACACTGAAGAGAGAGAGAGTACTCAAAATAGAGAGAGATAACACTTAAGAGAGAGAGCACTCAAAATAGAGAGAGATAACACTGAAGAGAGAGAGAGCACTCAAAATAGAGAGAGAAAACACTGAAGAGAGAGAGAGAGCACTCAAAATAGAGAGAGAAAACACTGAAGAGAGAGAGAGAGAGCAC